TGTTAAAATTAGGATGAGAGTTATCGCACACGCTTGGTGGTAGCTGTCTCTTTTGCCTTGGCTGTTTCAAGTGTAATTCCCTCTTCTGCGGGTACAGAGGGGGAAGAGGGATCTGAACGTGTTTGTAGGAGACTGAGTCACTAAGTAGATTTTATTTTGCAAGTACAACTGCAAACTCATTTTCTCTACCTAAGTGCATTTTGTAATCATTTTGTGTTTATTAATATATTTTCACACATCCTTATCTGAAAGGCCTATCGTTACGATAAATGCAATCTCCGAACCGTGTACAACTGCATACCTTAGCCAGAAAACTGTATGAGGAGCAGCTACGCATGCACTGTAACTTTTTGGGACTAGGCTCTATACCAGAGAGATACTTAATCAAATACTAAAGTTAACAGGCAAAAGGAGAGTTAAAGAAAAGAGTAAGACTGCGAAAATACTTTGAAAATGGTTTTTCAACTAGAATATTTTGTGGTTAAGTTTTCCCTCATAACACGTTCCTGTCTGTAAAATGGGAAGAGCAGGGTGCTCTGCCATACTTGTATATTGTGAAAATAAATAATTTAAGGTGTGCGAGGTTTTTTACGTGCTACAGTACTGGTGATCGTGTGACTATCACGGAGAGAAGCAATGCAGAGGAAGCAGCTAGCGAGATTCGTGAAGTGAGTTGCTGCTTAAAAAAGTTTCTTGGGAGTGTGACTTAGCTGATCCCATGGTAGAACGGATCTCTTTGCCTCCTTCATAGTATTGCATGAGACATCTCCTTCTTGTATTGCTTTAATGATTCCAAAAAAGAATTTTAAAATAGAAAATCAGCTTACTTCTTCACAAAGGCTTTCAGCTCCTTCAGGGTATATAGGACCAGTAGGTGCAAGGTCTTAGAGATCCTCTGTTGAAACTAATTTATGTAGTAAGTCTTCCCTCCTGAAAATTTGCATTTGTATTAGTTTTGAGTTGAACAAAGAGTGCAAGTCTATTAATATTATTAGTATAAGGCTTTAATTGTGCCCTCTTTCCCCCAATTCTTAAGTCTTAGCAAAGCTGTGTTTCCTTTTCAGGCGGTTATGACCTTCTTCTTTTGCAAATTAGTTTGTTTTTTGTGATAACTTTAAGGTAAAAGTGAAACTTAAGTTTTTAATATTTTATAAATTGCTGTTGAAAGGATTCATTATTTAATTGGCACGAGGGGATGTCGAAAGCAATGTCTCAACTGAACTAACGTCTGAGAAGTGGGTAGTTCTTAAAGTAGGTTTGCAAAATTGCAGTAAAGCGTAGTTGCGCAGACAGAAGAGCTGTCTGCCTTCTGCCGTGTGTTGGAAGTACAGTTATTAAGGCACAAGCATGTATCACTTGTCCATCATAACAAAAGTGTTTGCACAGGTAACAGGAGTGAAGTTTCAAATGATTTTTAACAGTTTATTTGAAATACCAGTCTTAATTTTGTCATGCTAAAACAGACTCTCCACCTGGATGCTTTTTTATTTAGAAGACTTTTACTCAAGAAGACAGTTTTTTACTTATTTTCG